TATACCACTTCTATCTGCCCAATGTATAACCTATACCTTATATCGTTGGCATTTGCCACACCACAGCACGGTTCGCTTCCTCAGACACATCCCGAGAAGAAGCAACTTAAAGCTCTCATCGCATCTGGACAGCGAACGTCGTCAGACCCGTCGTTTGATGAGGAGAACTTTGAGGAGGCTGTGCGCAATGCCTGGAAAGCCTATGCTCCTACTAAGGTTGGTGGCAACTAACAGCTACATTGTACTGTTATGTGGGTACTTTTATGTGTGTACAGTGAGTTGTTATTTACTAAGGTAGTGGCAACTAACAACTACATGGGACTGTTATTTACTGTCATATGTGTACAGTGAATTGTCATGGAATACTTACTTTCCTACCAAGGTTGGTGGCATCAAACTATAAAGTGTCGTGTCCAAACCCTAAACCCCTAAACCCTACACTCCAATCTCCTGTTGTAACTGAAGATATAGCTTGTAAGAATATAACACTCTGCAAGTATCACTCATAGTCGCACTTCAACAGGTACAGTGGTGCATGCAGTGTATATTTACTTTCAAAGGATGGGCTCTCTGAGCTCTCTTTATTTGTTTGTCGGGTCTGCTTTTGTACACAAATTGCAACCATTTCCCATAGTCTACCCATAGTTTACCCTAAACCGTAAACACTAAACTAAAACACTATATCCTAAACCCTAAACCGTAAACACTAACCAAAATACGAAATCCTAAACACGCGGTCCACTCATAGTTCACCCACAGTCGCACTTCAACACTTACAGAAATGTCTCGTGCGCTGTTTCACTTCGAAAGAACTTGTTCTCTGAATTGGCTTCTCACTTATTCGTAGTGTGTAGCAATTGAATAGCTCTACAAGCATCATATAGCTCGTAGGTTTACGTATGGGAGTAGTATCGTATAGCTCGTAGGTTTATGTATGGTAGTAAGTTTTATATAGCTCGTAGGTTTACGTATGGTAGTAAGTTATATATAACCCGTAGGTTTACGTATGGTAGTAAGTTATATATAGCTCGTAGGTTTACGTATGGTAGTAAGCTATATATAGCTCGTAGGTTTACGTATGGCATTAAGTTATACATAGCTCGTAGGTTTACGTATGGTATTAAGTTATATATATCTCGTAGGTTTACGTATAGTAGTAAGTTATATCGCATACAGTCAGGGTATTGAGGTAGACGGCCAAAACGTTTGGTTGTGTCAGGCATGTCGTAGGCAGCCCAGTCCGCATTGCTATGTTCTGTTGAAAGTCACAACTAAGTTAAGTACGTCTAAATCTGCAGCCACATACCCAAAAGCGTACCCAGATGTTCCACTGTGTGGTATGTCAGTCTTTGCTTCTCATCGCTGGTCTACCACGTCGCAGGAGTTTGTCTTTGTCGAACTATGCCGTTATTTACCCTCCCCTCAACTCCAAGTGTCCGGATCTAAACGTTTTTCTCCACCCTTCAACTTCAAATTCCTGAACAATACGTATCTATTCTCCCTTCAACTTCAGTTTCTTGATCCAAACGTTTTTATCGTCCTTTTAACCTTAGATTCCTGATCAAATCGTGGAATTAATGGACCGAGCGGAAGTGGACAACGTAAATAGACAGGTCTGTGCGTGCTGCATCGATTTTGACTTTGATTTCAATTTAACTTGAATTTCAACTTCAACTTTACCTCTAACTTTCATGAACGTCTATATGTTATGTAGTTTATAGTTTTCACCACGTGCAGCTTTACCTCTGCATAAATAACAGTATGTCATTTAACTTGTACTCATCGCCTGGGCTTAATGCTCACGAAGCCATTGCTGGAGTATAGCAGCCGGCTCTGCTGTGATCACTGCCAGTGATATATACTCGACACACACTCTCTAACATGGGTTGGTATGCATGCTACTGTTATGACTCTCACATAAGATCAGCGCTTTCAAATGACATGTATCCATTTATATACGCCTGTATCGCCTTTATTGAGCGGTCGTTTAAAACCAGCCAATAGAAACGCTCACGGAGTTTACTCCGCCACTCCTTTACAATGCAGTCGAATCCGTTCTGGATCAAGCTCCGAGCACTGAAACAGTTCGTAGCGAATGAGGGCGCTGGTAGACTGCCGCTGCAAGGGTCCATCCCGGACATGGAGGCAGATAGCGCCACATACACACAGCTGCAACGAATGTATGTACACAGTACTTCAACGAGTTTATGTGCACATAACTACAACACATGTATTTACACACAACTACAACACATATGTTTATACACAACTGCAACACTTGCATGTACACGCAACTGCAACGAATGTATGTACACAATAATTCTACGAATTTATGTACACACAACTACAACACATGTATTTACACACAACTGCAACACATATGTTTACACACAACTGCAACACTTGCATGTACACGCAACTGCAACGAAATGTATGTTCTGTATCCAGTATTCCAGTGGTGTGATTCCAAAGTCGCGCTCATTGTCTGTGAGCATACCACCTCGTAAGACAATTGTACCGGTGGGTGTAAGGTGTGACATCCTGCAAGCGCATGTACAGACACATGAACAACAATACACCGATACATGCACAGGAAACCGATATATTATGTGATATATAAGATAGATGGTACGCTTCGTTCTAGCAAATACACAGACAACACATGCACGACTGTACACTGCACTTCAGATGTATCGTAGGCATCTCGATCGCACTCACACACGCACATACATAGTAACATACATTAGGTGCACGATGCCAACTCAAAGAGAACACTCTCACACACACATACACAGTAACATACATTAGGTGCACGGTGCCAACTCAAAGAGAACACTCTCACACACACATGCACAGTAACATACATTAGGTGCACGGTGCCAACTCAAAGAGAACACTCATACACACACATACACAGTAACATACATGAGGTGCACGGTGCCTTTAAGACCAGGAATCACCGCCACCTACAAATCAGAGAACAGTGGTCTACGCTCCCAGGCGATCTGTATATCCACCAGAGGATTGAATCTCCATTACACCTGACACACACACACACATTCAAACACAAACACACGTGTCAGGACATTCCCCGAACACATTCCAGACATAGAACTCGTGTCGACAAAACACACACACGCAAAGACATGTTATATAATCCTACACTGTGCCGATAACATACAGCCCTTCATATACCCATAGCTATACTTCCCTCTCCTGCACTGCACATATGGCACCTGCCGCACAAACACACACAAGCAAGCACGTGTTATATATTACTACACTGTGCCTATAACATACGGCCCTTCACATACCCATACCTATACTTCACACTCTCCTGCACTGCAGATATAGCGCTCGTGCGGACAAAGACACAGCACTGGTACTCGAACACGTGGACACCCTCAGACGCACCTTTGACCTGCCACACACATCTCTGACATCGGTCGATGTCAAACGCTTCTGCCGAAACGCGCGCGAGCTGCGAGTGGTACGGTGTAGACGAATTGCAGAGGAACTCAATCCAATGACACCGCCGGATTTAAACGGTGTGCTTATGGGCGTTGTGAGGGTAACGTTGGGTTGTGCTAT